CAACAGTCAACTATACATGAGGTTTAAGTTTCGTTTTGCTTAATCCTGATATTGTATATAAACACTTCACTGTACATTCTTATAATTAATGAGAATGAAAATTAAATTTGGCTTGGTTTAATAACTCTGCTATTTGATTTTGATTAATACACTGCACATTGAGTTGTGAAGCCACTTAAAAAAAAAACGATGTAAATCACAGTGGTTGTGAAAAATGATTTCAGAAATATATTAAACTTTTTTAGGTTTAATAGCTKATCGCTGCGACTATCTCTCTTAACTACTCTGTTATAAAACTGTTCCATTTTGATATGCAACTTAATTATCAAAATTTATGTCACAGAGCTTAACTTACACCTAAGAAAGAAACTATTCCACATATATCACATGAGTAGTTCTGAAATATCATTTTCCAATATAAGTATGCATAGTTCACAATATCAGCAATACAATTTCAAATAAATACCACAAATATGTTGACAACCAGAGCCGGTGATCCAATAAAATCCTTGAGCCCTAATCCTTTTATAGTTTTAATGGGCCAATAAAATCCAAGAGAAAAGCTAGTAGTACAGTGATGCAGGCTTCTTTCGTTGAAAGACAATATCACGGATTCGACGCCCATGCTATGAAAATGCCATTATTATTTTTTTAAAGCATAATTCCATATATAAAGGGGCCAAAAAAATATTAAAATTGGGGGGCCAGCAATATCCAGGACGGCATTGTTGACAACAAATATCATATGTGAGTACAATCTAGTAAGTAGTTAAACTACCATCATTCCAAATGAAAACCATCATTCTTGTGTTTAAGCTCTGACTCAAACCTACAATTTCCATAATCAGCTCTTTTTCCAACTATCCGATGATATCAGCAAAGACAATCTCGATGTTCTCTTGTGTCTTGCCAGTGAGTGAGCCGTGCCACATCCCAGTGTACAACTTAAAGGTCTTGTCAGCGCTCCGCGCAATCTCGTATAGTTCTTGGCTCACTGCTTTATCTGTTACTTTATCATCATCTCCGTGTAATACCACAAACGGCAATGAAAACAACAATC